ACCCACACGACGGATAGGACCAGTGCACTTCGCCAACGCCGTGCGTTTCCGACTAGCCCTGCCGTTTTCAACTCCAAAGAATTGTGACTGCGCTGACCACACGGCTATCACTAACCCCCGCCTCCCGAATCACCTTCTCCGCTGCGGTACAGGCAAACAGCGCATCAATACCCACAACGAACTGCGGGATGCCTGCATTAGCATGGCGCAGGACGCGGGGTTTATAGTTCACAGAGAGTCGGCCGCATACTGCCCTGTCGAGGAACAGACGGCCGACTTCAGCATGACGGACAGAAGCAGTGGGGCGGTCTATATCTGTGACGTTACCATCACAGACCCCATCAGCACCAGGGACCCGGAGGCAAAAAAAGGCAGAGGGTGGGCGGCTCGAGAGCAAGCTGATAAAAAGATCAAGCACTATGCCAACCGACCGGAGACGGTTGGCTTTTTCCCACTGGCAGTAGACACTTACGGTTGCCCATGCGCAGAGGTACCCACCTTCCTCAAACTCCTAGCGGACACAGCGGCTCGGCAACACTTCAACGCCGACTCAAAATCCTTCTATGCCGCCAAGTTCCTGCACCAGTTCCGACAGAGATGGTCAGTGGCTCTTCACAGGGCTCAATCCGTGGGGCTCCTACTTAAGTTGGGTGAGGCAGCGGCGGCAGAAAACCCACCTGTAGGAGGAATAGGGCAGGAGCTGCACCTGGGGGACTGCTTTGCGGTAGTGGAGCCTTTTCTGGAGCTCTAGAGAGGGTAGTAGTGTGGTAGTTGTGTGATTAGTTGGTTTGGTTGTTTGCTTGTCACAATGAGTTAGCTAGACCTTGCATCCATACCCTGCATGTTTGTACTTCCAAGCTCTATCAATACACGGACCATAAGAGAGAGAGAGAGAGAGAGAGAGAGAGAGAGAGAGAGAGAGAGAGAGAGAGAGAGAGAGAGAGAGAGAGAGAGAGAGAGAGAGAGAGAGAGACAACGAGGAGTTTTGCGCGGGGGGATGAGAGGCGGACGGGGAGGGCGCAACCAACCACCCAGATCGGAAATCCCCGCGAGGACTGGTCCCTGGCGGGAGCGTCACGCCAGGCCTGAAAGAGTGATCCTACAGACGAATGAGGGACAAGAAGCTTCTGACAACCCCGGGGCCGACCCAGAGTTTATGGCTGGGGAGGAGGAGACCTCTGAAGAAATCTCGTTGGAAGACGAGGAGGCACCCAGGAGGAGGAACAACCCTGAACCTCAAACCGGGGCGGCGGGGGGGGGTATTCCTAGCAACCCAGCGGTAGGAGGAGCACCTGCCACGGAGGAGACTGACGTGCCTTCGCCGGCCGACCTGGCCGGCGACGACGCCATCTGGCACATGGCGGGGGAGTGGAATGTAGACGTGCTTCAGCGAGGGGACCAGCCATTCCTCGTCCGCCGGCTGCCACCACACCTCCTGGACAGGTACTGTCTGTGCATGCTGGCAGCACTCATTCGCCTGGATAAAAATCCCAGCTGCCCAGGTGGTTGGATGGTGCTGCTGTTCCTTCCGAGGCTCACCCTCAGGCCTGCGCCCGAACCTGTCTTGGGGAGTCGCTGGGCAGCGATTGAAGCTAGGCTGCACAAATTCCAACGAGGCGAATGGTCCGAGCTCTTCGAGGAAGCAGGATTCATCCCCGACACAGGAGCCCCGGTACGGCACCAGCCTGACGAGGAAGGGGTTTGTGCACGAGCGGAGGGGTTAGTGAAAAAAGGAAACATTTCGAAAGCGGTAGCGGCTCTGCGAACGTCCCCCTTAGCAGAAGCAACCCCGGCTACACTTGAAGCTCTGCAAGCGAAACACCCTGCAGCGGGTAGCCAGATACGGGCGTGGGTTACCGGAATCACAGAGTCAGAACTGGCGGTTTCGCTGGACTCGCTTCGCGAAATCCTGGCGAAGTGCCCGAATGGTGTTGGGGCGGGACCCTCTGGTACTTGTTTTGAACACCTCAGAGACCCCGCCCTAGCTAACGAAGAGCTGCTGCTGTTTTTCGCCAAGATGGTAAATCGGCTGCTCAGCACTTTCCAGGCCTCCCACGTAAGGAAATCGCTACTGCCTTCCCGTCTGATCGCTCTAGAGAAGCCGAATGGGGGAGTGCGACCTAAAGCAATAGGCGAAACCCTGCTACGCATAGTGGCGAAGGCGGCGTTGCATACCCTTGGGCCCAAGATTAGGGATTTTTTCTTACCAGTTCAGTTTGGCGTGGCAGTTCCAGGAGGTGCGGAGTGCATCATCCATACCTTCCGCTCTCTACTCCGTGAGGACAAGACCCGCATTGCCCTCCAGCTAGACATCGAAAACGCTTTTAACAGTGTCGAGCGACGGGCTTTCCTAGGCTCGCTGCAGTGGTCCAACCTGAGCTCGCTACTTCCCCTTGTCCGAAACCTGTACGACGGTCCATCGCCATTGCTCGTAGATGCTCGACTGGGAGTAGACCAAATCCAGAGCTCACATGGCGTCAGACAGGGAGATCCCTTGGGCCCTCTCTTGTTTGCGGCAGCGATCCAGCCAGCCCTCATGAGCGTCTCGGCGACAACACCGGAAGTGGCAGTGGTAGCCTACGCGGACGACATCACCATTATCGGCCAGCGGGAAGCAGCGTGCCGTGCCTTCACCAAGATAGCGGATGACTTGGCAGAATATGGACTACGCTGCAACATTTCAAAGTCATCGGCGTGGGGAGCTGCGCACGACGGAGAGAACGAGGAGCTACCACTAGGCTTAGTTGCAGACGCGGGCGGGATACGGGTCCTTGGCAGTCCTATCGGCAGCAACGACTTCTGCACCACCCAAGTCCGGGCGGCACTGGAGGAAGCTGCCTCGCCCCTTCCCCTTGTCTCTCAGCTCAACCCGCAACATGCCATGCTTATAGTCTCCCGCAGCATCTCTCGCCGCATCTCATACATGCTGAGGACTACGCCGGCGACGACCCTGGGCGCAGAGGAGTGGAGGGACTGGAGTGAGGCATTGGTTGGCTCGGCGCTCACAGCTGCAAAGCTTCGCATCCCCAACTCGGAGTTGGAGCAGAGCCTACTGTGGCGACAGGCTACCCTCCCGATTCGGCTGGGTGGTTTAGGAATCATTGACCCTGTCTCGGAGGCCCCGGCTGCCTACATTGCTTCTGTCACGGCAGCGCACACCCTTCTCCAGCACCTGAATCTTCCCCCGGACTGCCTGCTACACAGAGCAACGGCCCTGCTCTCCCACGATTGGAGCCCACCACCGCCGGACAGCAGCACACTGTCGAGCTTAGAGGAGGGGCTGCCAGCTCAGGCACAGGTGGCGCTGGGAGCCTACAGGATGGGGAACAAGGGCACAGGCAGCCTGCAGCTGTGCCTCTCCAAAATCATCAACCAGCACCGCGCGGTCGAGCTCCTGGGGGACACGGTGGTGGACAGGCCTGGCACCAACAGGGGTCACGCGCTGAGACTGATAAGCCTGAGAGGGACTGGCGCGGGCGACTGGCTACACGCGGTACCAACGAGAGCTGACCTCTCTATTTCCCCTGGTCAGTTCTCGTTGGCCCTGGGCCTACGCTTGGGCATGGAGTTGCCAGTAGCTGAGGTGTGCCCGTGCAAATGTGACAACTCAGCGATTGGGGACAAGAGTCTGCCGAACCACCTGCTGCGCTGCCAGGACGGGGGCGATGCAGTCAGAACCCACAACGCCCTAGTCTACGCGGCGCTGCGGATGGCTAATGAAGCGGGCTACAAAACGTTTCATGAGACCTCAGCATTCTCACCGCCAGTCCTCAGGAAACGAGCAGACCTAGCGATACGGGACCAGGAGTCAGGGGAAACATGGGTGACGGATGTCACCGTGACGGACCCAGTATTACAGAACAGAGACAGCAGGGCCCGCAGGCCGCCTGGGTGGGCCGCGGAGGAAGCCTCACAGAGGAAGCATCGGCTCTATGAAGGGCGCCCCACCTATGCCGGATTCTTTGGGCTGGCTGTCGAGACCTACGGGGCCATGGCGGCGGACACAGTCCAGTTCCTTCGCATGCTTGCTACCCACGCAGCGAGGACGAAGTTCAGACAGGGGCGCCTCACAACAACTGCCGCTCGGCTCAATGCACACTACCGACAGAGGTGGTCGGTGATGCTGCAGCGCAGCCAAGCCATCTCACTCCTCTCCAAGTCCAACCGAGCAGCTGAAGCGGCATTCCCACAGGCTGCAGGAGACCCCTGGGCCCCACGGCTAGGGGACCTCTGGCAGATGGCTGAGGATGAGTATGAGGAGCGGGAGGCTCCTGCCCGAGCGGCTTAGAGGGGCAGGAGGGAAAAAGAGAGGGCGGCGGAAGGAAGATGAGAGGAAGTTGCAGGGAGGAGGATAGGGGGCAGGGGGACTATGGTATGGTAGGAGGGAGCCACAGGACGGGAGGAGAGGGAGGTATTCGGGGTCGGGTGTTGCTGCTGGCCAGCATGTTTCAGTGCTAGGGGACTAGGGTGTACACACACGGCATGGCTGCTCGGCTTGCACTGCTTGCTTTGCTTTGCTCTGCTCGCTTGTTTGCATATTGGCTTGCATGTTTTGTTGGTTTGTTAGCTCTTGGTACCTGGTTGCCTACATGCTTAGACAGACTAGCTACAACCACCTCCTGCCATGTCTGTACCTCATGACCACTATCAATACATGACTACTTGAGAGAGAGAGAGAGAGAGGGAGAGAGAGAGAGAGAGAGAGAGAGAGAGAGAGAGAGAGAGAGAGAGAGAGGAATAGCCTCTGCCCTCGGTTGCCTAGCTACTTAAGGGCCCGTCTTAGCCTTCTCCTCCTCATTGTTCAGTTGGCGGCTGAAATTTTCCGCTCGCGTCGGCCGCCTTCGGCGGCCGACGCTCGACGGCGCGGCCTTCGGCCGCGCACGAGGGGACGGCAAGTAACCACACATAGCGCTGTCTAAAAACACATGCATTACACACATGGCAACTCCTACCGCGGCCTAGCCGCGTGAACAACAAAATGGAGCAACCGGAGCCCGCGCCTACATGCGGTGAGCTCCAAGGGCGTGAAGAACGCCCGTCAGGGAGCGCCACAGCTCCCGGACCACAAGCGTGCTTGCGCCGATCGCCGCGGCTCCAGATCCTGCGCGCAAGTGCCGCCTCAAGCCCCGGACAGCCTCGTCAAGCTGTCCCGCAGCAGCAGCGCCACCCTCCGCGGGCGCAGCCAACACGGGCGCCAGCAGCGACGCGAGCTGGTCCGCCGCGTCCAAGCACGTGTCACGCTGGCGTTCGCGGAAAGTCTCTGGAGGAGTCACGGGGAGGGACGAGTGAGCGAGAACTTGAATCAGCAGCAACGCGTGGAGGTTCTCCGCGAGTCGGTGAAGCTGGCCAAGCGTCGCCTCTGGAACACGCGTCTGCGGAGGCTGCAGTGCCTCCGTCAGGAAAAGAAGTGGCTCTTCCGCAGCACCATGGTGGGAATACTACGCCGACGAGCCACCACCCGCAGCAACAAACTCCACTCCCGCAACAGGCGGAACCGGCGGCAGATGGAGACGAGAGCCAGAGGGAGGGGCCGAGGCAGCAGGAGCATGAACCGATGGGGCAAAGTCAGGAGGGGGAAGTGCAGCGGCTGGCGGAGGGACCACGGGAGGCTCAGCCAGACGAGGAGCCACGCGCGCTGGCGCGGCCCGCAGCGAACTGCTCTGGCTCTGCGCCGCCCGCTCTTCGCGCACGGCCCGCGACACTTCCCGCTGAAGATCCGCCATTGTCACAGGCGGGCGGTAACCCCCGCCACCGCCACGCCCGCGGGGACCCCTCCAGCCCGCATTACCACCGGGGTGAGCAGGCCATTGGGCCGGCGGCTGGTAGCGCCGGGGAGAGTTGCACCGGCGCCGCGTACCAGGTACCAAGCAGCGGCGAGAATGGCTTTAACAGTGTTGGCAGCAACTAATGAAGACGAGGAGTTGAGGGACCCTTCTTATAGGGAAGAACCCCTCCCACCAAGCGAAGATGAGGAATCGGAGGGAGAAGGCAGGGTGAGAGAGGCAGAAGGGAGAAGTGCAGGCGGGGTGGGCCGCTCGTCCACGCAAATACCACAGGCGGATCAGCAACCGTCAGATGCAGATCGAACGGGTGACAATCCAACCACTGACACCCCAGCAAGGACGAGCCGCGGTAGACGAAATCGAACCGCCGCTGCCAATACCGCGACGCGCCAAACTATTCTGCTCCCCCGCTACTTTTCGCCTGACGAGCTGGCGAGGCGTGAGGACTTATTCGCGGCCATCGCTGGTTGGGACATTGGAGCTCTCTGCGACAGTCGTCAGCCTACGCTGTCACGTCGTTTACCGCCAAACCTATGCCAGCTGTTTTTGCAGGCGCTTCTGACACCGTTACTCCACCTTTCGCGAAACCCCGAATCCGAAACGGGTTGGCGACTGCTGCTATTTCTTCCTCGACTAACACTTCGCCAAACATCGCCACAGCGACCAGACTGGCGGGGGGTCAAAGCCAAGCTCCGGGCCTTCCAGCGTGGCGAATGGGAGCGGCTGTACCTGGACACGGTAGACGCGGTCAACACACCCCCACCGCCACGACACCAGCCTGACACGGCCGGAGTCATCAGCCGAGCTGAGGGGCTCGCGAAACGGGGCAGTCTACGCCGAGCCGTGCTGGCTCTGGAGTCAACGCCAGTCTGCACCCCCAGCCCGGAAATTTTGGAGGAGCTCCGTCAGAAACACCCACCTGCTGCGCACGAGGCGGTGATCTGGCCCGTGCCACCCGAGACGAAGCTGTCCATCACCCACGCCGAATTCGCCAAGATCCTGGGAAGATGCGAGAATGGGGTGGGGGCCGGTCCGTCAGGCACAACATTTGAGCACATGCGCGACGCGGCCACCACTAACGCAATGATCAGCACCCACCTGCACGCCTTGGTCAACACCCTGCTGGGGGGAAATTTGCCAGGCCCGGTCGCGAGCCTCCTGACTGCGTCACGGCTGATAGCCCTGGCCAAACCTGGGGGAGGAGCCAGGCCAATCGCGATAGGCGAGTGTTTGACAAGGCTGACAGCCAAGGCAGCCCTGACAGCCATGGGGGAAGCTGCCCGAGAATATTTCTTGCCACTTCAGTATGGCGTGGCAGTCCCAGGTGGAGCAGAGACGGTTATCCACACAGCCCGAGCATTCCTGGATGCCCGCCCAAACTGCCTGGTCCTGCAAGCCGATATTTCCAATGCATTCAACAGTATCTCGCGACACGCCATCGCCACAGCGTTACACGACCCCAAGCTCTCGCCACTGCAGCCGTTCATGAAACTGACCTACGGTAACCCGTCGCAACTGCTCCTGGACTCGAAATTCAACTGCGAACCGTTGCACAGTGAACGGGGTGTGCGGCAGGGGGACCCACTCGGCCCGCTACTGTTTGCAGCAGGGATACACCCCACGCTTCGCGACACTGCAGAAGCACACCCCGACGTGCTTTGCTTGGCGTACGCGGATGACGTCACCTTCCTGGGTGACCCATCGCGCACTGTAGCGGCTTTCATGCACTTCACAGCAAAATTAGCACAGCTGGGCCTGACGCATAACCCGCAGAAATGCGCGGCGTGGAGCTCGACCGCATTATCACAGACTCAACTTCCGCCCGGGGTGCCGTTTTCCAAGGACGGAGTACGGCTTCTAGGTAGCTACGTCGGGACTGACGTAGGAGCAGCCGGTTTTCTTTCGGGCCAGTTAGAGGAGATGGCTAAGCCATTACCGCTGATAGAGCGAGCAGACCCACAGGTGGCAGCACTACTCCTCACGCGATGTATTTCCAGGCGCGTAGCTTACCTCATTAGGAGGACTCCGCTCCACTTACTCCCTCGCGCCACCTGGAGCCAGTGGGGAAGGGACCTACTCATTACCTTCCTCACCTCATGCGACATCCGCGTGCCAACATGTAGCGCCGAGCAAAAACGTGTCTGGGAACAGGCGTCATTGCCGACGTCGCTAGGCGGCATAGGCATAACGGACCCGGTCGTAGAAGGGATCTACGGTTTCACAGCGCGCTTCACCCAAGCGGCCCTTTTTCTATCCTCCCTTGCGCTAGAACCTGACAGTGCGTTGACTTTGGCCAGGATTCACATGGTGGCACCCCGGGACGACAGCACCCCCCTGCACTCGTGGCTCACAGAGTGCGAAGCAGCCCTGCCTCTAGACACGCGGGAAATCCTGGAGAAGGAGCGGTTAGAGCGATCGGACGTTAGGCTTCAGCACGTGCTTGGTTTGAAGGTGCACGGGAGCAGATACGCCGCACAGGTCCAGGCAACTAGGCACATGCAACCAAACCCTCTCTCGGGCCATACGCAGCGGATGTTCTCGCTGACTGGGTACGGCACCGGGGATTGGCTGACCGCGATCCCAATCGAGGCCACTAGACGAATAGGCCCCGTGCACTTCGCGAACGCTGTGCGGTTTCGGCTGGGCCTCCCCTTTTCCACGCCTAAGAACTGTGACTGCGCAGAACAGACGGCTATCACAGACCCCCGCCTCCCGAACCACCTCCTCCGCTGCGGCACGGGCAAGCATCGCATTAACACCCACAATGAGCTGCGGGATGCGTGCATTAGCATGGCGCAGCACGCGGGTTTCATTGTTCACAGCGAGTCGGCTGTTTTCTGCCCCATCGAGGAACAAACCGCAGATTTCACCATGACGGACAGGAGCAGTGGGGCGGTTTACGTGTGTGACGTCACCGTCACTGACCCTATCAGCACAAGGGACCGGGAGGCAGAGAAAGGCAGGGGCTGGGCGGCACGAGAACAAGCTGATAAGAAAATCAAGCATTATGCCAACCGGCCAGAGACAGTGGGTTTTTTCCCTCTAGCGGTAGACACCTATGGCTGTCCATGCGCGGAAGTCCCTGTCTTCCTTAAACTACTCGCGGATACTGCGGCTCGGCGGCACTTCAACGCCGACTCAAAATCTTTTTACGCCGCCAAGTTTCTGCACCTATTTCGGCAGCGCTGGTCAGTGGCCCTGCAGAGGGCCCAATCGGTTGGTCTCCTCCTCAAGTTGGGCGAGGCGGCAGCAGCAGAGAACCCGCCTGTAGGGGGTATCGGTCAGGAGCTCCATCCAGGGGACTGTTTTGCGGTGGTTGAGCCCTACCTAGAGCTCTAGGGGAGGGAATGGGTAGGTAGTGATGTTTGTGTTGTGGTTTCTGGTTTGTTCTAGAATCTTAAAACACCTGCATGCATGTACTTTTCACCTATATCAATACAAGGACCATTAGAGAGAGAGAGAGAGAGAGAGAGAGAGAGAGAGAGAGAGAGAGAGAGAGAGAGGGAGAGAGAGGGAGAGGGAGAGAGAGAGAGAGATGTCAAACATTATACATGTTTATATTGTGTAGGCTATAGTGGTTTAGCCTTAGAGAGTACAACATTGCTAGGGTTTCCTATTTGTATCACCCTGCTGCCTAGTTCACTTCATTCTCGTTCAGTTCTAGTTTCTAACATGGTATCCGACGCCTAGGTCAGGACCTAGGACCGACGTTGGTTAGGGCCCACCGTTTCCGCCGCGCCCTTGTGCGCCCCTATCCGCGCCGTTGAGCGCCCCTCCTAGCGCCGTCGAGCGCCCCTCCTAGCGCCGTCGTGCGCCCCTAGGACAGCCGCGCGCGCCGCCCGTCAGCCGCACGCGCAGCCGCCCACTCCGCCGCACGCACAGCCGCCCACTAGGCCGCACGCGCAGCCGCACGCACGACCGCACGCACGGCCGCCCGCTAGGCCACACGCACGACCGCACGTGCAGCCGCACGCGCAGCCGCACGCGCAGCCGCACGCGCAGCCGCCCGCGCAACCGCACGGGCAGCCGCCCACGCAGCCGCACGCGCAGCCGCCCGCTACGCCGCCCGCACGGCCGCTCGCTAGGCTGCTGCCCCCACGCAGCCGCACGCGCAGTCTGCTGCCCCCGCGCAGCACCACACCCGCGCGCAGGCAAGCCGCCGCGCCGCCCTGCCCGAGCCGAGCCGCGCCGCGCCGCCCTTCCTGAGCCGCGCCGCGCCGCCCTGCCCGGACCGAGCCGTGCCGCCCTGCCCGAGCCGCGCTGTGCTGTTTCACTGCTGCTGCTACTACTGCTGTTGCTGCTGCTACTACTACTGCTGTTCCTACTGCTCCTACTGAACCTATGGCTAGTCCTTCAGTTCTAGCTTTCGATACTGAGGGCCGCCCGCTGCGTTTTGAAACCTGGCTCAAGGACCTCCATCTGTTCCTCCAGCTCACTGCTAAGGAGGATAATTCGCTATATGATCATGCGTTAGGACTCGCTCCTGCTCCTGCTGCGACTGCGGACAGTACAGCCCGCTCACAGTGGCAGACTCGTGACGCCCACTCTCGCTTCGCCATTCGCAACTCCCTGCCGGTAGATGAACGCGAGCACTTTGGCCAGCACAAGACTGCCCAGGCACTGTACACTGCTGTAGTTGCGCGCTACTCCTCGCCTGCCTCTGCTGCGCTAGGCCGCCTCTCACTGCCCTATATGTTCCCAGACCTGTCCGCCTTCTCCACAGTCGCTGACCTCATTACTCACCTCCGCACCAGTGAGACCCGCTTCCGTGCTGCCATGCCCGCTGAGTTCCTTGCCAAGAACCCCCCCCCGCTGTGGCTCACTCTTTACCACCTGGTCACCCGTCTCCCTGACTCCCTTCGTGCGGTCAGGGACCACTTCCTTGCTCTCTGCCCCACCGAGATCACCATTGACCTGCTTGAGAAGCACCTGCTGGCAGC